TAAAATAATATTTTTTCACATAAATTTCAGTTTGATACTAAATTTTATTTTATATATATTTATATATATTTTTTGAATTAGTTATTGAAATCACTTAAAATTTTGATATAATATACAATATATTTCAATGATTCTATTAGCTTAGAATGATAAATTTTGTTTTTTTATTAATTTTATTTTAAAGTGTTCATAATATTCTGGGAGATCTCTGTAATAGAATTTAAGTGAACTAGTAAATATAAATTTGTATAGCTAATAAAATATAGTTCAAATATATATAAAAACAACATGTATCATAATTATTAGAATTAAATTAAAAACAAGTTTTCAATAATTATATTTCTAATTATTATTTTATAACTAGATATCACATATTTATATAAGCAAAGTATTCATATGAGCAAAGTTTGCACTTTATATAGAATAGGTAGTCAAGTGCAAACTTCTTTCTATATCTCTTTGACAAAATATTCTTGTTTCTTATATAATTATTTCAGTATATTTGTTATAAGTATTATATAGTTCTTGAATAAAGTATTAATTACTCAAGTATATTTGTCACAAATATTATACTATTTAGTAATTAGTTTTAGACTCTCTAAACACATTTGTGATAAAATCTATTGAAATTATATTATATAAAGTGATTAATTATTAAGACTCTTTAAATATATTTATAACAAAGTTTACTAAAATTATTATTAGTTTTATAATCTTTTGACTTAATTGCAAAATTATATTGAATTAAAAAAATTATTATTATAATTTTAAATCTATCTTTGAATTATATTTATTATAATATAAATATTATAATCTCTATATCTTTGAATTTGAGATTTTAAAGATACTTTTTAGCTATTTAAATTATTGCATTAAAGAATACAATTATCTTTAAGTAATTTTATTATTAGTACTTTTAATACTTATTTATATTCAATTTAATAATTATAAAGTATTATTAATACTTTGAATTATTATTAAGTTTCTTTTGAATATTTCTTTAAATTTCTTTGAGTATTTCAAAAATAAATTAAAATAGTAATAATATAGTAATATTTATTCAAAAAATTATAAATTAACTTGAATAATATCTGAAAAAATACTAGAATGATATTATAAGAAAGATATATTATAAATTATAATTTACAATAAAATTAATAACAAAAATCTTTTGATATTGTAATATTTTTAAGCAAAAGTATTATTATATAAATTTGATTATATTATTATTTATATTATTTATAATATTAAAATTTTTAATAAAATTGTAATTTTATTGTATTATTTATTAATAATATTATAATATTAGATATTTAATTAATATTCAAATACTATTAAAAAATTTCTGTATTTAGAATTAAAAAATATTTTTATATTATAAAAAAAGAGATATTATAGTAAGTGCTATATAATAATTAAAATAATAATTCAAATTTATATAAATATAATTATTTTATATTTTTTTATAAATCACTTAAAATAAAATTATTTTTTTATAATTATATATTATAATAAAAAAATTGTTAATAAATTTAATAATATAATTATATATTATAATAAAAAAATTGTTAATAAATTTAATAATATAATTATAAACAGAATTAATTATATTAATATTAATATTAAATAATTATTAAAAATATATTCAAACTAAAAATATTTAAAATTATATTTTAAACTTTAGTAAATATTGAATTTTTTGTCTTATATAAAAGTTTCTAATTTTGTTAATAAATATTTTTTATTTTTATATCAAAATAAAAATTATAAGTTATATTTTAATATGTATTTTTTTGTATTTTTTAGATTTTATTTAATAAAGTTATTCTAATTATAAAAATTTTTTATAATTAAAACATAATATTAATTATAAAAAATTTTTGTAATAACTTTATAATTAGAAAAACTTTGTCAAATAAAATCTAAAAAATCCAAAAAAATATATTAAAATATAACTTATAATAATAATTAAAAATAATATAATAACAAAAAGATTTATTAATAAAATATAGTAAAAATACAAAAAATATGAGTTTTTCTCTTTAATTTTACTAATAAATATTATATATTTTAACATAAATTTTTTTAGATTTTTCAGATTTAATTTAACAAAGTTATTTTGATTATATATAAAGTTAATAATTTTTTATATATTTTTATTATAAAAAATTATTAACTTTATATGCAATTATAATAACTTTGCTAAATTAAATCTGAAAAAAATATATATTAAAACATGTAATATTATTTTTATTTTAAAAAATATTTATTAGTAAACTTGAAAAAAACTCATATTTTTTGTATTTTTATTATTATATTATTTTGATTGTTATTATATAATTTTATTCTGATTAATAAAATTAAAAACTTTTATATAAAACCAAAGTTTATGTTTTATTAATAAATTTGTATATATAATCCTATAATTTTGTTAGTTATTATACAATAAAAATATTTTAGTTGAAATTAAAATCAAAATTACTTGAAATATTAATTTTTTTAACTTTAATAAATAAATTATAAATTGAAAATAAAGTTTTGAAAGATAATGTATTATCATCTAAAATATAATATTTTTTGTAATTGAATTAAATATTTTATTTTAAATAAAAAATTAATAAATAAATATAATATAAAGAAAATAATCTCAAGATTTGTATTTTACTATATTTATTTATTTGGTGTTTTCATCAAATATTATTTTAAAGATATTTGGATTTGATATTTGATTATTTGACCTACTTTATATTGCTACAAATAGATCTTTTAATAGATAAGAAAGAACAAATTAGATTTTACTAACAATTAATTAAAATATAATAATTCTAAAGGTTTATTTATATTAGTTCTCTTAAATAAAATAGTTTTCATAATATAAAAAATGATAGTTTGAAAGATTCAAGTAATCTGATCACATTTTAAAGAATATTTTGCAAGATTCTAACGCTAACAATTTTTTATTATTCTATAATAAAAACAAAAATTCTCATTATTTACGGCGCGCACTATAACTCATATTTGACATTAACGATTAATCTCCAAAAATGAAAAATTAGTCACTTAAAAAAATAACAAATACCAAAATAACAAAAAATGCCTTAGCGTTAACTAATCATCCTCTATTTTGATAACATCCGCATCGTCAACTTTCATTAACGACACCGAAGATGATGAGGATGAAGTAGCAGCAGCAGCCAAACTTTTACCTTTTTCTGTTTTTGTTTCTTGAAGTTCATCATCCTTAGCGTTATCCTGAATAATACCCAATGCTTTTCTGAGTTCTTGAAGTTTCTTTCGTTGTTTTGCTTTGACGAGTTCTCGGTTTGCTGCCGAGTTGGATGCAATTTCGATTCCTGTCATCGTTGAAGACGATGTAGCACCAGCATCTTCTTTCTGTTTTGTTAGTAGATACTCTTGGTGGAGTGTGTATTTCGCGTCTTGCTAAATAAGTAAATAAGTATCAATCAAGATTTTTAGGGAAAAAGAATAATGCTCACTTACCACTACCATATACACTTGATTCATTATTTCGTTGAATTCAACGTGGGCAGCTTTTATCGCTTCTTTTTGATAGTCAGTAGGTTCTCTAGGTATTTTCCCCCGGATTCTACAAGTAATTCGATAATAATAGTATATTATTAACCATATTCAATATTTCCTGTAATGCGTTGATGTGTATTTGTATTTGTATTTACGCGTTACTATGCCCTCCACCTCCACTAGCTCCATGTTTGCTTACAGCTTCATAAGTATTACTCCAGATTATCTATTATATTTTAAAACTTGCTTATATGTTAAAGCTAAAACGGATTTCAAGTTAAATTTTAAATGCTGAATGTCATTTACATCAATGCAGTTACGAAGTTCGCGAAGTTGGTTTTGGAGGAAAGTGTGGTCATTCATGTCTTCTGTTTGCATTGCGGTCATTTTTTAATCTTTCAAAATGTAACGTTCCGAGATCTATTTACAGGGAATACAAAATTTTAGAGGCCAATCAAATCGTAAGATCAATGTGTAACGCAAAAAATTCAAGCTTATGAAATTTTATTAACTTAATTCAATCGGATTTAAGTAGTGAGCGCTCGTTTCTTTAAGATAACATCTCGTTATACTAACACAAAATCGCTTCCCCCGATCTAATTACTGTAATAAGCTTTCATAGTATTTATTTTTCGATAAAGTAACATCTATAATAACACCAATCTCTTCCCCCAATCAAAAACCTTGTTGATTTCTTTCAGTTTGACCTAATTCATTATGAGAAGATACTAGCTTGAGATTTGAGATTTTTACTAATAGAATAAATATTGCTTGGACAATTTTCTCATTTGGCTGAACTATATATGGCATGTCAGAATTGTTGGTAAGTATTATTCCAATATTTCCAGTATATTTGACATCTATTGTTCTAGCTTTGATTTGTGTGCTAATAAAGATCTGGAAGCTAATTGACAATATGTTCCAGTTGGTATTTCTATTGCAATGTGAAAATCTATTAGAACCATTTCTTTTGATTGAATTATTAATAGTGTCACTTCTGGATATTTAAAATCAAATCCAGCATCTGTTTCATGTGCTTTTTCAGATAATTTTTCTTTGTCATTATCATCAAATATTTTGATTTTTATATTATCTTCTATGATTATAAATTGATCAGTTTTTAACTCATTGTTTTTTCTTTTTAGACAAGTTACCAGTGCATTGATTTTTTATTGTTTATCTTCAAATTGAATTGAACTTTTCTTCCAATTCATTATCTAATTGTTTTCAAATATGAGATCATAATCATTTTTTTCAATAACTAAAGTATCTATTTTCAGTTCTTGAAAGCTAATAGCCCTGAAAAAAAATAATCAGGAATTAAAATCTAATAAAAATCTAATTAAAAATTTAGTAATTTTGAAATGTGATATCTTGTGATTCACTAATCCAATTCGAATAAAAATATTACTATTTGATTTGTCAAGACTAGACAAATCGAATGGTGATACTTTTATTCAAATTAGATTAATAAATTGTAAAATATTGCATTTCAAAGTTATTATATTAATTTTGTTCAAAATTAAAATTAATATATTATTTTTAAACAAATTATTATTAAATTCACCTAGTTTTGATGAATTCAATCATAGTAATTTTTACAAAAATGGTTTGGTAATTCATAAGATATCATATTTCAAAGTTGCTGAATTAATTTTGATTTTTTGAAAAAAAACTTATTTTAATTTGGAACACTTAATTTGAAGCATGATATATTGTTATAGTATATTTTGTTTGTTATATATTATTGGACAATATTTATTTTTATTTTTATTGGTTAGTTATTTTTGGGCTTATTGTTTATATATATTGTACATCAATGTGATAGATATATTGAACCTTCGATATTTTGAACTGTTAATTATTAGAGATATTAAATCGTTAATATTTTGAAACATTAATTTTTAGAACTATAAAAATTTTGCTTTTTTAGTGTTACAGATATTTAGAAATCTTTGCAACAATCAATTTTATATATAAGTAGCATTTCACTTAATAGCAAAATTAAAAGTTTATGAAAATATTAGTTAACAATTTGATCATAAGAAAGTAATATAACAAGTTCTTAATAATGAATTCACTTATTAAATATTTTATAATTACTCTTTGATTTTAGTATAGTTTTGATTATAGACTTGGAATAATCTATATAATATTGTTATTCTTGTATTATATACTTGTATAATATATATGCAGAACGTTGACTGAGGTAGTAATAGTGAAAAGTATAATAATAAAGAAGCTTTGTTAATAAAACTATCTTGAACTTATTATAATTATAACATATAACTCTCTTAATAATAAACTTAACTTGATCCACTATCTCCTCTTATAACTATAAGAAGAGACTTATTAAAGATCTTTCATTATATAAATACTATTAAAAGAACTGGAATAACAATATCATAACTCACCAGATCAAATTTCACCAAAATTCAGTTACTATTTCACTAAATTTCAATAAATATGTGATTTTATTTTTATTCAATTTGGTTAAGTGAGTAATAAGATATTAATTTATTTTAAAAAAATAGAAAAAATAAAAAAATATATTCAGTAACTTTGGGATGTGATATTTTGTGATTCACTAATTCAATCTGAACAAAAATATAATTATTTAATTCATCTAGTTTTGATGAATATTTTGTTTAGATTGAATTAGTAAATTGTAAAATATCATATCTCAAAGTTACTGAATATATTTTTTTTATTTTTCCTGTTTTTTCATTTTTAATCAGATTTTTATCAGGTTTTAATTTAAAAATTTGTTAACAAAACTTGTAATTTTTTGAAACTAAAAAACTGAATCTTTTTCTAATTATTTTCTTTTATTTTTTTATAGGGTAATAATTGGTAGATCTATTATTTATCCAAGTACTCTTGCTTTGTATTTATTAATTTTAACTAAATTAATATTGCTTAATTTTTGTATTTTTCAATCTATTTTTTTTAGATTATTATAAAATACTATATTGCTAACTATTCCACTATCAATTACTATTTTTGTTGATAAATTTTCAATTTTTTCAAAAATATGCATTATGTTATTATAATTCAATTTTTAGTGCTCTTTTTAATATTTATTATTAATTATAACTTGTTTTCAATTATAATTATTAATTATATTTTCTATAAAATCAATTTATAATAAGTTATGTGATCTCAAAATCTATATGTAATAAATATATCTTCTTCTATTATCAAAATAGATTACTATTATTACTAATAGATTTCTGTTATCTACTTAATATAAGAATAATTCTAAAATAATATAATATTGATATTCTTTAGCAATCTGATTGAGTATTCAATATAATGCATAATAAATACTATTATTATAATGTTATTATTATTTAATTAAATTTTATATATTAATAATAAAAATAATCAAATATTAGATATTTAATTAAAGGTATTTTATTTATTGTATATTGAATCTAATTAATTATAACTTATCTTTTTTATAACATAAAAAGCATTTCTTATATATATAATAATTTAGTCTACACATTATAATATATTGCTAAATATTATAATATATTACTGAACATTATAAAATATTATTAAACATTATAAAATATTACTAAATATTATAATATATTATTAAATATTATAACATATTACTAAATATTATTATATGTTCAAATTATATGAAAAAAGTTATATGATTTCAATTTCATTTAATAGAAATAAATAATTAAATAATAAATAATTAATTAAATAAATTTAAATTATTAAAAATATTAATATAATAAAAGTAATTAATTATTAATAAAATAATTATGTAAAAAATTTCTTTTCACATTTCTTCCCTATCAATTTCTTGATTGAACAGAGCCATATTTTTTCAAGAGCAAAAATTTAAAAATCTAATCAAAGAAAAGAAGAAGTTACTTATATTAAAAGATTCTATACACATCAAGCTTTATTTTTAATATTAATAACTATTATTTCTTTTTCTTTTTATTTTTTCTTCTCCTCAAATATACTTAAAATTATTAAAAAACAAAAACAAAATAAAATTCTAAATAAATAAATAATATTTTTTATTTTATGTATTTTTCTTTTTCTTTTCTAATATTATAACACTCTCATCTAATTTTTTCTTTAAACAAAATAAAATGTTTAATCTCACAAAAATAATATTATTATTATTAACTCTCTAACTTTTACTATTAACTGTATTATAGAATATATTAATCTTATATCTTCAAAAAATATTGGTCAGCTTATTTCTAGTAACAATCTCAATAATAATTTTAATACAATTTTTGAATCAAAAAATGCAAGTTCTTACAAAAAGCCATATTCCTGATTCTTAAAATTTGTTTTATATACACAGTATAAATATGAAAACTGAAAATAATGATATTTATACTATGAAAGATAATAATAATATCATTAATATGAATACAAATTAATAATCCAATTTGAATACAGATCAATAATTCAATTTGAAAATTAACTCAATTTCTACATCAAACACAAATTCCAAAAATTCAATATTATACAAGTGTATATAAGAATTAATTCACAACTCATTTAAATTTATTCATAACTCTAATAATTCACACTGATAAATATTGATATCTGAATAAAAAATCATTATAAGTACAAAAAGATATTGATTATGAATTGCTGAACAAGCACTTCTTGAAGATAATACCAAAGTTAATATTAAATATATTAAATATATTAAATATATTAACTCACACTTTTATCAAATGCAAGGCTTTATCAGATTCAAATTCATTTTATATGAAAAGCTCAAATATATATGCTTAGAATTCTCAAACATGAAAGTTCTCAATAATATAATCAATGTTGAAATTAACAAAACTCATATCATTAATACAAGTTTGATCTTTCTCTTTATCATAAAATCTGAAACTACTATCACTCTTTATAATATATTTATTAATACTATTCAAAAACAAATTCAGATAACAATGTTTAAGTTTAGTCAAATTATTAAAATCAAATAATAAATTATATCAAAATGATTCTATATTGTCATACAATATGAAATAAAAAATCAAGCCAAAACTGCAATAGAAAAATAATCTACTTTACTCAAAATAGATCATATTCAAATTCTTTTTCTTCTTGACTAATCTATAATTCTTAAATAATAAGATACATTTATAGTAAAACTAATCAATCTTTCTTATAACACAACTATATATGAATTAAAAGATATGATTCAGTTAATTAATAAAAAATTATGTTATATTTCATGCTTTCCAGTTTGATATACTCAACAACACTTTGCTATTATTATTTTCAAATCAAAAATTGATTTTACAAAAATCATGAACAGAAACTTTATATTTAAAAACAACAAATTTAAATGGAAAAGTGCTGAAATTTCATTATGCTACATTTGT